TCTTAACTTTGTTGCAGACATCTCAAACCCTTCTTAATTTTGTTGCAAACATCTCAAACCCTTCATAGTTTTGTTGCAGAAATCTCAATCCCTACTTATTTTGTTGCAGATATGTCATACCAGTCTTAATTTTGTTGCAGACACCTCAAACTACTCTTATTTTGTTGTGGACATCACAAACCATTCTCATTTGCATTGTTAGAGTCTTGAACTCTTTCCAATTTCTTTGTGGGTGTCTCAAGTCCTTTTTTAAATTGCATTGTGGGCATCCTGAATCCTCAATTTCATTACAGGCATAGAAAATAGATAATGTAGCCAGATAATGTGACTGGCATCTTTTGAAATCATATTTTGCACAATATTAAGGAAAAAAAAATCAAAGTCTGGGGGAAATTTTGGTGTATAAACCCAATCCAAATTTAAGCTTTTTAAAACTTGCAAACTTTTCTAAAAAGGCATTAGCAGATTAATTTATCTTCAAAACGAATATCGTTCTTTAGTTCCCGTTGATCAGGCTTACTGTTGTTGATGGTATGAGCACTCTCCAGAGTTCCCAGTTGCTGCAGGCGAGCATGCAAAATCCCTGTCCTGTTACGAGACACAGGCAGAGTGAGAGATTTCCTGTCTGCAGCTACAGGTCCCACGCCCTCCTGGCTCCTAGTGGGGAAGTTCAGAATACAAGAGATGATGTAATTCTCGTTTTTATTTGTCAAACGGACGGTTTTTTGTTGTAAAAAGGACACGAGCAGCAAACAAAGGACAGAAGAAAGGTGAATGAGTAGATTAGATGTCATGCGTTTCATCAAACACCAGATTAAATAATTAATTTCTTACCCATGCAGGAGGGGCTTAGGGCCACAGCGGTATTCAGAAATCAACTTGCCAGCAGTGTTACAAATAAGAGAACAACCAAGAGCTGAGGGTTAAACAATTCTGTGTAGGTGTGAGTATGGTTATCATAAAGACAAACAATAAATTTAGTTTCACTTCAAGAATTAATATAATATGTGATCCAAACAGGAAAAGACCGACCCTACCTGGCAATGAATCTCTTCCCCATGTATCTGAACTGATGGAGGCAGATTCTGCAGAACAAAACAAGAGGACGCCATTACTGTACCAAACACCTCAAAGGTTGTTCTGTTTATTATTCACCGTGAAAGTGGGCGATCATGTACAACCCCAATTCTGAAAAAGTTGGAACGTTATGCAAAAGTCATTATGAATCAGATGACATCAACACATTAAAAAAAAGGATAAGGGTAACAAAATGATGTAAAACTAAATGGTACGAATAAGAAACTGTTCAAAGAGAATTTTGAAACTAATTAGTAGAGCCTGACCGATATATCGGTAGGGCCGATATTTTTGGCCGATACAGGCATCTGATGACATATTGGTATCTGTGATAATTGTCCCATTATGCCCCACTATAAACACTGGGGACAAGCCGTGTCCTTTCTTGCAAAAGGTGTAATTGTAGAAAGTATCCAGCAGAGGGCACATGCATACTATTTTCAAGTCATGGCTGTCACTTTAAGTTTCAGTTTCAGCACAGATGAAGCAGCGAGTATGTAGCATATTTTGCTAAACAGAGTAAGTTTATTGTAACTGATCTGTAAAATTAAAAAAAATTAATAATAAATTCTCTTCAATCCTCCAACCCGCTCGTCTTTAGCTACGTGTCTCTAAAGTTAGCAAGCTAATGTTTAGCTAAGGGCTATTGCCTTGTAAAACTTTATCCAGAACAATAAATCGGTAAAATATATCAGTGTTAGTAACGTTTTGTCGTGCTCAATGAAATGCATTGTTTGTCTGAAATCTTTACTTCTCTGCCAAAAAAAAATAGGCCACTGCAGTCCATACTAATTAGACCTTCGCAATACGTGACTGGCTGTTTAAGCAATAAAGAGGGAAGGGTGTTTCTTTGTTTAATTTATATTTTTGTAACACACTTGATAACTTTATGGTGAATAGGGGAGGATAGAAAATGTGAACGCACGTTAGAAGACTGTTTCAAGACTAAAACTCTAAAGAAGAAGCCATCTGTGAACACCATCCAGACATACTGCCGTCCTCTCTGGACTGAAGCTCATTTAAAATAGACTAAAGCAAAAAGGAAAACTCTTTTGATGTCAGAAAAATTTAAATCTGACATTCTTTTAAAAGACAATGGTCGCTATGTCTTCTGTACTAAAGAGGAGAGGGACCATTCAGCTTGTTATCAGTGCACAGTTCAAAAGCCTGTCTCTCTGATGGTATGGGGGTGCATTAGTGCCTATGGCAGGGGCAGCTTACAGATCAGTAAAAACACCAGTACAGAACAGTCTATATCGGTTTTAGAACGTCTGCTCTCATCCAACAACTGATTAGCCATAAAAATCTAATTTAATACCTGCGTAAAGCTAAATTTAATGTAATGTAAACGTCTATAAAATACAACAAAGTCCATAAAATACAGTTAGCATAAATTGCTAAGAAGTTTTTTCTTGTTTTAAAACGGCACCAATCATTTTGGTATTAGCTGCATTCAAATTAGCCATAAACTTCTTTGTCTAGTCAGAATTTAATTATTTCCCTAAACTGAGGTAGTACTTGTGAACTGAATTTCATTATTCTAGTTAATGTATTCAGTCCAATATATAAAAACATATTTCAGGTTGTAGCTTATTGGAAGACTCTTGCTGTAATGTGTTTTTTAAGTACTGGAATAAATCAAAGGAAAAAAGTCATTGGGACTTTTATTAAATACCTAGCTAAAGAGGATGTACTTACTCTATTAATGTAAAGAAGTCCATTAAATCTGATGGAGCCGCTTTGTTCCAGTAAGCAAACAGGGCCTCTGAGGGTGGTAAAACAAAAACCAGACAATAAATCCAGAATAAATTTGAACTGTTTTGTGTATAAAAATAAACTTAGATGTGGTTTCTTACCTTCTGACATACTCTTCAGGATGTGCAGGAAGCACATGAGCAGGTTGCGGATCTCGTCTCGGTCCAGTTTGTCGCAGCGCAGCACGGTGCTGCCCAGCGCCGATACACACTGGTTCTGATGAGCACGGCACAACGAAAAGAGAAAAATAAATAACTAGTGTAGCCCAGTTTGAGCTGTGCTATGTGGTACAAACTAAGTAGTAAAATGAGTTCATAGTAATATCATTTAAGTTTAAAAACAATGTCTACGTGATAAAAAGTGGAGTAAATATGAAGGAAAAACCCTTTTGTCATTTAGAAATGTATCATTTTAAAAACAGTTCCTATTTTGTCAAGAAAATCAATTTTACGTAGACTGAAACAGGCAGTTGTCATTTTTACTACGTTCCTTGAATGTTGCATAAAAGTTTGTTTAAGGGGTACACCACATGGTGACACGTGGAAGTTTCACAACCTACTCTTTAAGTTGTGCTAAGTGTCAGTCTTGTTCAGCTTTGTTTTCTATTGGATTAAGCATTTTATTTTGCCCAATCAGATGGGAGTGGGCGGGATTAATGGTACGCTGCATGAAACGTGAGTCTGTGTGAAGGGCAGACAAAGTTAGAGAGCACAGCGACGCAGATGTGTGACAATAAAGTAAAGCTGTCCATTGCAACAGATGATGCAGAGTTGTCGACTGTAACGGACTTTAAGAAGCATATGAAAGGTAAATACCTTTGTATGTATATTGTATGCCGTTTCAGAATGATGCCGTGTGTAGATGAAAACCATGCTAAGTAAAACTAGCATTTTAGCATGCTAGCGCAATGTAGCAGCTCAGGTTATTGTATACTGAAATGTAAATTCAACATTAGTGGCTGGTTAAGCTCTTAATGGCTCCATATGAGAAGCCAGTGTCTTTTACTAAGGACTATATATATGGACTGAGAGCTGTTAATGTGGACAGTGGACCAGGAGCTAATCTTTGGACCTGCTAGACAAGTTAGAAGTTCCCCATTTAGTCGTTGGATTCCAAACTGTGAGGTTGCTGCCAGGAAGGATCTCGGTGTTCGTGTAACATCACCTGCCTACTTACTTTACTCAGCGCCATATTAAAGAGATCGCCACATCTACCTTTTCCCGATCCAGTCTCAAACTCTGAAGGATTTGTGAGTACAAAACTAAACCATTGCACGTGCTTTTTATTTTATTTGCGCAGGTAGCGAATGTATGGGATGCTGTTTGTAAAGTTACACAGTCAAAAAATATCAATATTTTGGTTTATTTAGCCTTCCATAAGGAAAAAATAGCTTATTTTTTTCAAAGTCATATTTTCACCATGTTATTCATACATTTAGAAATGTCATAGTTCCAAACTAAATATTTAATTTACCAGCTAAATATTTACTTTTAACTTGCTAGTTAAATTTTTAGTTAGCAAGATAAATATGTAGTTCCACACTAAATATTTAGTTTACAAACTAAATGTTTATGTCCAAGCTAAATGTTTAATTTACAAACTAAATATTTAACTTGCAAGTTAAATATTTAGTTAGCAAATTAAATATTTATTTTGAAAATTAAATGTTTAGTTTGGAAAATAAATATTTAGGTCCGAGCTAAATATTTAGTTATCAAATTAAATATTTATTTTGGAATTTAAATGTTTAGCTTGGAAAATAAATATTTAGGTACGAGCTAAATATTTAGTTAGTAAATTAAATATTTAGTTTAGTAATTAAATGTTTAACTTAGAAATTACATGTTTAGATTGGAAATTAAATATTGAGGTTGGACAATAAATATTTAGTTTTTAAATTAAATGTTTAATTTTGAAAATAAATATTTAGCTTGGAAATTAAATATTTAATTTATGCCTAAACAACTATTATATTATAATATTTAACTTGCAAGTTAAATATTTAGTTTGCAAAGTAAATATTTAGTTTGGAACCATGATATTTATAAATGTATGAATGACAGGGTGAAAATATGACATTAAAAAAACTTTTTTATGAAAGGCTAAATAAACCAAAATATTGCTGTTAATTCTTGATTGAGTAACTTTACAAACGGCACCCCATACAAACGAGCTGTTTGTTTTTTAGCTCACGCACAACCAAGCATCAATTCAGGCCTGCAACGGGTTATTTTGGTGTTGAGTTTTATGTTTGAAACGCCTTACCTGAAATATTAAGGGGTATAATATGTACTGCAAATATTTGGGTTAAAATGATAGAACTGAAAGTACTGTGAAAAGTTGTTTTTGTTGTTATTTTTATGTATGAAATAAAGTTATTTTATTTACATATTTTTTCTTACCAAAAGTGTCTTTTAAAATTAAATCAGGCATCAGTGTCTTATTTGAAAGTTACTTTAAGTGTTACTTTTGTATTCTAAGAGAGTGTATTTAATATAAACATAGTTACGTGAATTAAATTCTTAGTGGGTCAAACAAGGTATAAATTCATAATTTCCTGCTAACTGGAGGCACCGCCATTAAATTAAATATGAACAGTAAGTTGTATGTCCTGTAAGCTGTTAGTTACAACGATCTTTAAAATATTGTTCCCAGGGCCCCGACCAATGTACTACATTTCAATCTAACCTCTTGGTTAACTCTTTACCTACGCGGTATGGGCGCTACACTAAGAACAGCAAGAAAGATGGTAAAAAATCTGAGCTTTAAAGAGCTGGAGCACGGCACACAAACAACCCAAACAAGAAGAAGGAGTCAAGAATCAAGATACGGCAGCAACAAGAGTAGATGCTCAGAGTAGGGAATGCAGTATAGCAGTACACAAACGGAGTACTTGTATGGGGGTATTTTCTTCCCAAGTTCCATCCACCCTTCGGCCTGCAGCTGCTTTGCCATTCCCACCGTCCAGCTGCAGGTCAGGCAGAGGCACAGCGAGCAGAGAAAAGTCCATGGTGACCCGCTTTGCAGCCCGGTTCACAGGCTCATCCCGCTCGTCAGCGTCAAGGAAGAGGGGCAGCACGTTGACCGAGTGCCTCCTGGTAAACCTCTCCTTTCGCTGGGTGGTGGTGGAGCAGGGAGAAGGAGAGTGGGAGCTCTGGAGGAGGTTTGGGCGTCCGAGAGTGCAGATAACGTACAAATAAAATGAGTTTAAAGAACGCAAAAGGTTCACCAATAAAGTTCTTTTTTCCTCTTTTGTTCATCTTTCAATCTCTGATCTACAACCACGGTTTGACAAATTGACCAAAGTGTAAAACAAAACAGAAAACCGATTTGTGAATCTCATAAACCCATATTTTATTCACAACGGAGCTTATTAAACATTAAATGTTGAAGAACTTATACCATTGTTAGGGGAATTTTGTTCATGGGTGTTTATCACTAACTAATGTTAAACTAATGTTGAACCATGTGTAGGAGCTGACTTGATCCTGCATGTACAGCTGGGAGGCCGAGGTCATCAGGCTGATAAATGTATATAAACTATTCTCGCACACTGTCCAGTGCATACTATCGCATCCAGGCTTCAATGAAACATCGGTGCAAGCCTGTTGTGACCATCTGTCCTTGCAAGTAAAACTTGGTTAAAAAAAATCTCCTATCGTCGTGTGGCTTCTTTTAGTAATCAAGATGAATAGAGGATATTTTTATCCAACACCCATGTCTGTAAAAACCTAGGTACCAAAGTACCTATGCACCCAAATACACATGTACTAGGGGTGCACAATTCCAGTTTTCTGGCCCATCACAGACTTCTAAAAAGTCTGAGCTGCCGATTCCGATTTTGGCCGATACCGATTTTGTTTTATAAGCGACACTGTCAGGTGTTATAAGGTCACAATGTACCTTCAATTTTCCAATATTATTTAACTGAAAAACATCTCTTGAACAATATTTTAGAAACAATACAAACTTGTTTTAACTGGTCATGAGGTAGTGTTCTAAAATATAAATGAAGTTCAGACAATTGTTAAAACTAAAAAAATCTGTAAAATCAGTTTCTCATGCAAGTATCGGACAATTTCCTATTTCCCAAAATTAAGGAAATCGGGGCCGATTTATCGGTGCACCCCTATCAAATACCTATAGTGTATACTCAAATATGCATGTACCCAAGTACTCATGCATTAAAATATCCACATGTACTTAAGCACCTAGTTACTTAAATATCCAGGTACCAAAGTACCCATCTAAATGCCCAGGGACTCAAATATCTCAGTACTCAAATGTCCATGTACTCAATGAGCCCTGTACCCAAATAGCCAGGAATGGTATTGAAATCCCTATTTATCAAAGTACCCAGTTACTCAAACACCAACAGTATGTACCCAAGGAGACATGGTTATTAGTTATCTGGAACAGGATCAAGTGAGGACATAGAAGCATGTCATTCAAACCAGTGGGCTTTGATAGAATTTGAGTAGATCCAGTGGTGACCTACCTTCTCCAGTGAGTTGGTCTTGTCACTGCTCTTATCCTGAAGGCTGCTGGCAGAGTCGGTGGAGGCCAGAGAGCCTCTGGAGTCTGCGTGATGGACTGAGCTCACGTTAGGAGTGGAGCTGTGAGGTGACGCTGATGAGGCAGGGACATAAAATTAAAACGAACCCACCGGTATAACGAATAATTTTGTTTGACAGGGAAGAGAAGAGTCACCTGTTCCAGAGATGACCCCAAACACATCTTTGTGGAGAGCGTTTTCTATGCAACTCCCAGGTTTCTGAGGAGTCACCGTGGCGTTTGGTACCAGCGAGTCCTCCCTCATGTTCTGGGACACAAAAACATCTGAGTGACCACTTAATCCTGCAAATATTGAACCATTGAAGAGAGGGACACGGGGCAAGCTGCCATTTAATTTCCTACCATTAGATGTCAGGCTTACATTGTGGTTGCAGAGAGGAGCTGAATCCTTGACGTCAAGTCTGTAAACGTTCTCCTGAAGAAGGCCGAACAGAGGCAGGTAGAGGGTGGCGAGTCTCGCTTGGTGGCTCTGAAGCAACACAAAAGATGCTCAGGAAAATAATTTATTCAAATCTAACAAACTATTTTGAAGAGAACAAACAGGCACAGATATAGAGTTCACTCAGAACTTCTACCAAACAAATGGGGGAAAGCCTCTCAATGGAGGGAACTGCTGTTCACAACAGACCCAGCAAGCTTTGGAAGATGTTTTAAGAGCAGCATGGTGTCTGAGGTATCAAACTTACTTTAGCAACGTAGCGGTCGTCAAACGTGTGTTTAATTTGTAGTCCCTTGAGCACCTGGACGGCAATGTGTCGGATCTCTCTGTGCTCCTGAAGCGCCGCGCCCACCTCCCGCAGCAGCAAGCCCACCAGAAAGTGGTTTCGACAGAAGTCGTCAGTCAGGGAATAGTCCAGCTGGAGATCTGTGGAAGGCCCAGATCAACAAAAACTACTAAAGAAAAGCCAACCGACTTTGCTGAAATGAGCAGATCACAAGCTAAAAGCAGCAGAACAGTAGCTAAAAACTAAAAGCAGCAAAGCTATAGCTAAAATTTACAAAATGTATCAGAAAAATAACAATACAGTACAATAAATTAGCCAATCTGATGCTAGAATTAACAAAACTATAGCCAGAATTAGTAAAACAGATGCAAAAATCAGCTAAACAGATGTTAAAAATGTCCAAAACTGCTGCTAAGATTAGAAAAAAGTGCTAAAAATTAAATAAACAAAAACTACAATTAGTAAATCAGAAGCTAGGGTTAACAAAACGTGAAAAGCAGCAAAACATACTTCAACTAAAATCATCAAAGTTGTACCTAAAAATAGCAAAACAGATTGTTCAAGTTAGCAAAACAGATGCTAATATTAGCAAAACAGATACAAAAATTGATTAAACAGCTGTTAAAATTAGCCAGCATGAAGCTAAATTTTGCAAAACATACACTAAAGCTAAAATTTCCAGTTTAGTAAATAAAATCTGCAAAACTTTAGCTAGATTTAGCTAAATATATGCTAAAGCTAAAATTAGCAAATCAGATGCTAATGATAGCAAAACAGTAGCAATAGTAACAGTAGCAGCAAAACTGATAAAAAAAACTAAAAGCAACAAAACAGTAACTAAAAATACTAAACTAGCTAAAAGCTACAATGAGCAAAATTTTCTGTAAAAGCTAAAATAACCATAACAGTAGCTAAAACAAGCTGAATAAGTAAAAAGTTCAAAATAAAATAATATAGCTAAAAGCTAAATGTACCATGAGATGACAAAAAAAACAAAAAACTAATAAGTATCAGTGTTTCTTCTAGATCAGTGCTCTTGGAAGTGTGCTCGGCTATTTTGTGGGGGGGGGGTGGAGACGAAGACATGTCTGTGTTGCGCTTAGCGCTACGTTACTGCAGGCTTTTGTCAGCCGGGGGAGGGGAGACGAAGACGAAGACGAACATAGACTGAACATAGACGAAGTCTATGTTGCATGCTAGCTTGCACTTAGTGCTATGTCAGGTAGCATATTTGCTAGCGCATCTGTATTGCGCACCGCTAGTTTAGGTCTACGTCAATACTGACAGTTGACTGTGGGGGTCATGAAGGGTGTTTCAGTAGGCGGGGCAGAGCGCCTTAGGGAAAACACTGAGTATCAAATAACCAAAAACAATGTAGAACCGAAAAGAGCTTCATGTATTTGTATAAGGAATTTTACTTTAAAAATTTTAAATACTTGGAAATATATAAAAGTGGTTGTAACCAAAAGACATAGCACACCATTCCTGAGTTGATTGTTTTGAAATTTGAAGGGTTAAAATAGCACGAAGGATGCATGTTTGATGTTTTAAAACTTTCAGAAGAAATTACAAATAGGAAAACTATAGTGTGACTATAAAAACTCACACTTCCTGGAACAGATGTGAACTCCGAGTTGCATTTTTACCTTGAAACCTCTGAATTCGGCCTTTTCCGAAGGGCATGGGCAGATTGAGAGGCACATAGTGCTCATGGTTGCAAACAACCCGCAGGAACTCGAACTTAAACTCAAACAAAGTCTGGAAGAGAGGCACAACAAAAAACATTTGAAAACGCCACATTAAGCTTTAAATTTTAGTATAAAATATTTTATAGGACCTTTAAATATGTCACCTTGGGGTCACCTGGGACAAAGCAGTTCATGTAGTTGTTGATCTGCTTGAATATAAACCCTCTGTCCATGAACGTGAAGCATCGCTGAGGGTAAAAAATAAAAACAATGCAAATATCCCCAATCAGTATCTCACACATAACCCTTCAAACTCACCAAACTGAGTTTGAAGGAGTACCAACCTTGATGAAAACAGCCAGGCTGTGATTGGCATTGCGAGAAGCATCCAGGTTGTCCTTGTATTTCTGGGTGATGTGCGGCATCAGCATATTGACCAGAGTCTCCACAGCATGGTAGAAGGAAGCAGAAAAACGTTGGTTCCTTGAAAGCTGGACACAGCAAAAAGCAAAAGACGGGGGATTGGCATTAGGTTTCCAATGAATACCTTAAGGATAAGAGAAAATAAATATGTAAACAGACGTACCTTTACTTTCCCGCCCTCTATAAGATAATAAGCCATGGATTTCACCAGAGCTTCAAAAAAGTACCACGAGTGCTGCAATAAGATGAAAAGTCTGTGAAACAAAAGTAGGCACTGCATATGTTTATGTATACATATTACAAGTAGTGTTCAGAACTTTTATATATAAATACTTATGTTTACTTCAAACTCTCACCACCTTGAATACATCAAGGTGGTGTATCAAGGTGGCCGCAGTGTTTGACTAGTTGCTTTTACTCCTGTTCTGACATTTCTGCACTAATATTAGTAACGTTCTATACGTTGGATAAGTTAGCACTAGGATGCAACTGTTAGTAGACTACCGTATTTTCCGCCGTAAATGTTGCTCCGCCCTATAAGTCGCATCAGTCCAAATATGTCTAAAAAAGTGGAAAAATCCATAAATATGTCGCTTTGCCATATATGTCACAGCTACTATGTGTCGCCGCCGACGCGTCGTGTTTGTTACGCATCACCGCTGACAACACAGAAATGTGGGCTGAACCTGGAAATGTGGGCTGATGTGCCAAAAATGGATTGGCTGCCAAATGGCGGCCACAGGAGGACTTTTTGTTTTTGTCTTGAACTTTTTTGAATTTGTCATTATAGCCACTTTTACCTATTACATGATACAACAGCGTGCCTCACTGTTAATACTACTCTGCTGCCATCTAGTGGCTGAAAATGGTAGTGTTCAAAAAATTTCAGTCAGAATGACTGAAAATGGTCATATCTCAGCCAAAAATTGGTTTATAAATATGGGAAACAATCCATAAATACGGTGCTTCTGCCTATGAGTTGCAGGGCATGTAAATTATGCAAAAAAAACCTGTGACTTACAGGGCGAAAAATACAGTAGTGTGAAAAATTGTGCGAAAATTGGCATTTTTTTCAGCTGTGACGTTTATGAATTCTGAGTGCAAACAGCTAGCTGTGCGGCCACATTTTTTGCAGCCAAGTTTCAAAAATGTTAAATCCAATTTTTGGGTAAGATTCAAGCACTTTAGAGTGTCCCGTGACAAAACACGTGGTAAGGTCCTGACAACGTACATCATCATCTACGACATACATAAAGACATACGTCCTACGTGATGACAACATTGTTGTTTGAACAGGCTCTATTGAACGGCTCTGTGAAGCAAACAGATCATCAAGATCTGGTTCCCTTCAAAGAGACATAGACCCCATCACTATTTCTTCGACTATCGTCAGAAATTTGAAGTGGATGTGATTGCAGCGGAGAAGTGCATACAATGACAATCCTGCTATGAGGACTTCCCAGGAGTTCTGCAATCAAGTTTCTTGTGAGGTATAAAATGTCCTGACAGGAACGAACTTTGCTCTTGTTCCTTCCAAAAACTTAAAAAATGTTCTTGGGACTTGAGGAATATGCAACAAGCTTTGGAGTTACGAGCTAAAATTGATTAGGCATCCAAGCAAGTATGAAAAATCTCCAGTGTTCAGATGGTTCCACAGAAACTTGTCCTGGATTTGGATTCACATTAACATCCTGTTTACATCAGAGCAGTTACACTGTTGGTTTACCTTCAACAGTTTGTTGCTTGTTAAGAAGTCCGTGGATGGTTTGAGAATGGCTGTCATGGCCTTAGCCAGCTCCCCGTGAACCGTTTTTACACACATGGAGGAATAAGGCTCTGGCTTGAACACAAACTGAGGAAGAAACAGAAGAAGAAAACAGGTTTATTCATTTTAGATTTTGACAGGAACCCAGAATCCCACTGCACATCATCAGCACCAACAGAATGACTAAAGCCTGCACCTTCAGATAGGATCTCAAGTAATGTTCAAGCCCCTCCTCGTGACACTGTGCTACCACATGAACCATTACCCTACAACACAAGAAAAAAAAAAGATTTAAGACTTATCACACTACTACTTGACTCCAATAGTTGAAGTCAAAGTTTTAAGAAAAGATATGGAACAATGTGCAATGACCACATGCTCAATATCTGGAGAACAAAAATGAATTTGCTCATTAGGAACAAAATGATTGCTATGTGGTGTAGTCTTCTGTGTTTCTTTCTAACCTGGTAACGTTGACAGCCACATCCTCATGCGTGGCCCTGGTGAGAACGCAAAACAGCTGGTTGAGGACGGTGGGCAGAAAGTTAACCATCACATGACCTTCCATCGCATGAAGACTCTAGTAGTGATGAAGAAATTATTTACTATTGACAGACAGACACCAGTCTGAAATAACCCATTTTAACCTGAAAGTTGTTTAAGATGATATGCAATACCTTCAGGTATTTGACCAGATCGCCCTCTGAAGCTTGTTCGGACACCTCCATGCTTTGACAGTGGTGGAAGAAGTTGTGTAAATGTTGATCCTGGAAGAAAAATAGTATAATAAACAATTTTTTTAATTCAGAACACCCTCCAGTGACAAAGTAGTAGTCTAACCTGGTAGATATAGTGTCCTCCATGTGTATTTACCTGAGTGTAAACCGTGGAAACAAGGTGGGTTGAGACAGTGAACAGGGATTTCCCACCATCCACCCATTTAATCTCCATGCCAGACTGCTGTAACAACAAGTGAGTTTTAATCACTGCACTGCACACAGAGCAACAGGAAAAAACTTTTGAGATTTGGTTTTAAAATAGCAAGGAAAGCTGTTTTTCCAGATGTACATTTGTCCATTTTCCCTCTCCCCAGCACCTCCTGGGGGATCCCAAAGTGTTGCCAGACCAAAGGGGATTCACAATCTTTCCAGCAAGTTCTGGGTCTTCCCAGGGTCTCTTACCAGTGGGACATGCCTGGAAAACTTCCATCCATTATCTTCCGTTTGTTCCGAAGTCAGGTCATGGGGAAATTCCTCCCAGCCACGCCCCTCCAGGTCACATTGTCATTACCCACGTGGCCACTGAAGTCCCCCAACAGAATAAAGGAGTCCCCAGCTGGCGCACCTTCCAGCACTCTCGCCTAGGGCTCCAAGAAGGCCAGATACTCTGAACTGCCGTTTGACGCATAGGCACAAACAACAGTCCAAGCCCATCCCCCCACCCAAATGTACAGGGAAGCTACCCTCTCATCTACCGGGAAAAACTCCAGCACACAGGCACCAAGACAGGGGGCTAAGAGTAGACCCACACCAGCTCTGCGCCTCTCACCATGGGCAACTCCAGAGTGAAATAAGGTCCAGCCCCTCTCAAGGAGATTGGTTTCAGAGTCCATGCTGTGCATTGAGGTGAGCCCAACTATATCTAGTCGGTACCTCTCAACCTCACGCACAAGCTCAGTCTTCTTCTACGCCTGAGCGGTCACATTCCATGTCCCAAGAGATAGCTTTGGTAAGCCAGGGTCAGAGAGCCACAGCCTCCGCCTTCAGCCACTGCCCATGGCGTCATGCACCCAATTCATTTAGCCCCTCCTGCAAGTGGTGGGCCCACAGGAAGGCCTGGAAAACTTCTACAAGAAAACTAATCTGATACCCAAACCACTTTGTCTGACTACTTTCGATGTAGAGGAGCAGAAACTACTCAAAGTATTGTCAGGCCATACTATGTTGTTGGAAGTACCTGGGAAACTCAGGAGGATTTTTTTCAAACATGACATCCTGGTGCATTTCAAACAAATTGGACCCTCAAAGAGTTTTTACAAAAAACTATCCCATGTGGCTGACTATGGTTAACAGGCTAACACACATGTTCAATGGTTTTTCATGGGAGTACGCAATAATCAGATGGCAAAAACATTACCAATCCAAGACAAATCATATCAACAAAAAGAATCCGTCCAGAGGACTTGATTTAACCTTGTTAGAATTACCAATCCACCTTTTATGTTGCTTTTACCTTGTTGTCCTGGAAGCTGAGGTACCCGGCAGGTAGATTTGCAGCCACGGGAAGCTGCTGTTCATTCATGATAACTCGGCCTCCGTCTCTCAGCAGAAGCAGCCAAGCTGAACCCACTGAGGGCAAAGAGCAGATTCAGCTTTGCATTATTTAGGTAGCACCACTAATGGGGCGATGATATTTCAAATATCTGCGCCAACTACAAAGAATCATCAACTGAGATTAATCTGTATCGGACTGGCTTAGTTCTTGCTCTGAAACTAAAAGCGTACCAGGAGTTTCCACCATGTCTTTCTTCTTGCTGTTGTTTTCACAGCTGACGTGATAGAAGGTGAAGAGAAGGTGATGCTTCTCATGCAGCTGAGTAGGCAGCTCTATCTTTATCTGAAGGGGGAAAAAAAACCCACAGGTTCCAGTAAACGTAGTGATTTAAAGGTACTGGTAAGCATATTCAGTCTTCCTGGACGTTGATACAGTTCTAGCGGAGAGAAAATGGGGGTAAATACCTCATCGTAGAACTCAGGGTTCTGCTGGTGGTGTAGGACGGCTGCGTATGCGTGCTTCGTGAACAGAGGTCCTCCAGGACGCCCATAGATGCACTGCGGTAAAAAAAAGACGAAGGGGGGGGGGGGGAATAAAGCTTTTACTCAGAGCCATGAAAATCTGGCATACTTTGAACAAAGACTTTGAATAAAGTAACCAAATAGAGTCTCAAGGTTCATCCACACCATCCCAAATATTTTTTGAAACTAATACTTTGTCTCAGAGTTTATATTTGTTTTTCATTGTCCACACATTAACAAAAACCCATGCTGAGCCACTAGGTGGCGAGAACGTCCACATTAACAAAATATCAAAAATACATAGGTTAGCGTGGCTACAGATTTAGTCAAAACCATCAAATATAAATTATACTTAAGAATGGAAGCTGCAAGTTGAAGTCACAAAGATCGAGAACCCCCTATTGGCTGGCAGCAGTACAGTTTGACGTCCCTTTCATTTAAACAACTGGGGTATTTGAATGACTAAAATAAAATACACGTTGGAAATTTGTTTTAGTTTTTGTGGCTTCACATAGTTCTTATCTTTATGCTGTTTGTTCAGATATGTATTTTTAAACATGTTTAGTTTTAGTTATTTGTTTGAGCCTTTAAACTGTTACGTTACACAGTGACAGACGGCGGGACAGTCTGTAAGCGAGTTGGGACGGCGTGCAGGTGGGACTTAACGTGTTGACCCCAACATTCCAAGTGAGCTGGTTCCAAAACTACAACATGTCAACTCCTGTAAACTTCTATTTTGGACAATGGATAGTGTTGGAGAAAAATATCCTGGCTTGATCTTATTTACGCCAAAGGAGCCACACTTGACGGCAGGAAAAGATTTTTGACCGGTATTGACGGTAAATACACACATGAAGACCAGTGACGAGAATCTGCCACGAGCTGTGCTCAGCTTGGTTTTATACCCTTATCAGTTCAGCTGAGCTCAAAGACTCCGAGGTGTTCTTGGAGCGACAGTGCACGTAGCAGCCTCACTCAGCTCCTTGTCCAGCTCTCTACTAACCCAAACATATGATTCATGGGCAGAGTTAATGTTCTCAGCCATAGTAGTTAAAAACACCCATAACCTTTGACCAACACTTCCCTAACAGATAGTAATGGAATCACTTCATCTAGCTTCATTTATGTCAATAGTTAAAAGTTGGTTTTGTGTTTGATGCGTTTTCCTCCATTTTTAAACAAACGTGCTGAAATACTCATAACACGCCACTAGGTGTCAGGTACGTCCATGCTAACAACTCGTCAAAATAATGAGCGGAAACATTCTTTGACTAAAGACTCTCCTAAAACAATTTGAGCTCGTTTTTCTTCCTTTGCTGCAGGTTTTTAATGCTATGAAGCAATTCAACACACAAAGTTCAAATATGACAAGATCATAGAGATAGAAAAACCAATAAAACATCTCCATGTTGCTGTGGTTTTAGGTTATCATGTGGATGTTTTGAAGAAACATCAGTTTTTTTTCACCAAAAGGTCTGTTTGTGTTGGGATGGCAGGTGCAAACACAGTAAAACTATTTGTTATCAAGAAATCTTGTATTTCACGCAATGTTTGTTTTAACTTGGTGTTTATGATTCAAAAATTTAATGATGGTACCACTTTACAATAAGGCTCCCCTTATAGAAGGTTAACAAATAGTTTATAGCTATGTTATTAATTCCTCTATACACACTTTATAAATAACTAATAACGGCTTATTATGCATTAATTAAGAGTGACAGCGAAAACTGACCAGTTTCTTGCCAGATAGTGAGCCACCTATATTTAACCTAGAGTTGTTATATTAAACAAGTCAGACATATATAGATATGATATAAATAGATATGATATATATAGATATGATATAAATATATGATATATATATATATATATATATATATATATATATCATATTCATATATATATATATACTGTACTGTATATATACATATACACACACAGGTGATGGTCATAAAATTAGAATATCATGAAAAAGTTAATTTATTTCAGTAATTTCATTCAAAAAGAGAAACTTGTATATTAAATTAATTTATTACACACAGACTGATAATTTCAAATGTTTATTTATTTAAATGTTGATGATTATAACAGACAACTAATGAAAACCCCAAATTCAGTATCTCAGAAAATTAGATTATTACTTAAGACCAATTAAAAAAAAGGATTTTTAGAAATGTTGGCCAACTGAAAAGTATGAACATGAAAAGTATGAGCATGTACAGCACTCAGTACTTAGTTGTTGCTCCTTTTGTCTGGATTACTGCATCAATGCGACGTGGCATGGAGTCGATCAGTCTGTGTCACTGCTCAGGTGTTATGAGAACCCAGGTTGCTCTGATAGTGGCCTTCAGCTCTTCTGAATTGTTGGGTCTGGTGTATCACATCTTCCTCTTCACAATACCCCATAGATTTTCCATGTGGTTAAGGTCAGGCGAGTTTGCTCATCAATTAAGAACAGGGATACCATGATCCTTAAACCAGGTACTGGTAGCTTTGGCACTGTGTGCAGGTGCCAAGTCCTGTTGGAAAATTAAATCTGCATCTCCATAAAGTTGCTCAGCAGTAGGAAGCATGAAGTTTTCTAAAACTTCCTGGTAGACAGCTGTGTTGACCATAGACCTCAGAAAAACAGTGCACCAACACCAGCAGATGACATGGCACCCTAATCCATCACCGACTGTGGAAACTTGACACTGGACCTCAAGCAACGTGGATTCTGTGCTTCTCATCTCTTCCTCCAGACTCTGGGACCATGATTACCAAAGGGAATGCAAAATTTACTTTAATCAGAGAACACAACTTTGAACCACTCAGCAGCAGTCCCAGGCGAGACACTTCTGACGCTGTCTCTTGTTCAAGAGTGGCTTGACACAAGGAATGCGACAGCTGAAACCTATGTCTTGCATAAGTCTGTGCATGGTGGTTCTTGAAGCACTGACTCCAGCTGCAGTCCACTCTTTATGAATCTCCCCCACATTTTGGAATGGGTTTTGTTTCACAATACTCTCCAGGGTGCAGTTATCCCTATTGCTTGTACACTTTTTTTCTACCACATCTTTTCCTTCCCTTCACCTCTCTATTAATGTGCTTGGACACAGAGCTCTGTGAACAGCCAGCCTCTTTAGCAATGACCTTTTGTGTTTTGCCCTCTTTGTGCAAGGTGTCAGTGGTCGTCTTTTGGACAACTGTCAAGTCAGCAGTCTTCCCCATGATTGTGTAGCTACAGAACTAGACTGAGACCATTTGAAGGCCTTTTCAGGTGTTTTGAGTTAATTAGTTGGAGTGTGGCACCAGGTGTCTTCAATATTGAACCTTTTCACATTCTAATTTTCTGAAATACTGAATTTGGGATTTTCATTAGTTGTCAGTTATAATCATCAACATTAAAATAAATAATCATTTGAAATATATCAGTCTGTGTGTAATGAATTAATATAATATACAAATTTCACTTTTTGAATGGAATTACTGAAAAAAAATAAACTTTTTTCAATGATTTCTAATTTTAAGACCATCACCTGTATATACACATATATATATTTATATGTATATATATATATATATATACATATATACATATACACATTTATATATATATATATATATATATATATA